CTTCCCCCCAAACAAACCCCCACCATGCCACGCCCCCCCACCAAAACCGTCTTCGTGCTCGTCCCCGGAGCCTCGCAATCCCCCGCCCACTACGGATTACTATTCCATCTGCTGCTCACGCGCGGACACCCCGTATACTCGGCCATCTTACCCAGTACGGGCAGTGCCAAGGAGGAGGTGACGGCGGCGTACGATGCCGCGTATGTGCGGGACCAGATGATCCTGCCGATTTTGGATGTTGAGGGTCATGATGTCGTGTTGGTGATGCATTCTTATAGGTATGTACCGTGTGTTGGGGTTGGGTATTGGGTGCTCGGTGTGTGAGTTGGGGTGGGGAGGGATATGGGGGGGGGGTTGATTGTTTATGGCGATGGTGATGGCGATGGTGATTTATGAATGGACTGCTAATTTTGAACGTGAATGAAATAGTGGTGTACCAGGAAGTGCAGCCGCGGTAGGATTGGGCAAGAAAGACCGAGAGGCGATGGGTAAGAAGACATCTGTGTTGGGACAAATCTATATCGCATCGTTATTGATCAAAGGGGGAGATGGAGGGGATATTGTAACGGCACTTGGGGGATCACTTCCTCCACATATAGCTCCCGATGTACGTGACATCTTACATGGTCCCCTGTCCCTCCATTTTTTCTCGTCTAACATATAATGTTTTTTTTCCACAACAGAAAGCCGCAGGTATCCTAACATGCGATGATCCCGGCCCACCATTATACGGCGACGTAACGCCCCAGGAGTTCCAAGACGCAATTGTAATGTCGACATTATGTCCCAGTTATGCATCATGGCATAGTGCATGTCCACGAGCCAGTTGGGATGAGGAGGCTTTCAAAGGGCGGATTGCTTTTGTGCGTACGTTGAAGGATACGGGGATTCCTCTGGAGTTTCAAGATATGTTTATAAAAGGAACGGGGGTGGACTGGATTGTTAAAGATATGGATACGGGTCATAGTCCACAGCTTGTGCAGCCTGAGAAGATTTGTGATATGTTGGTGGAGCTTGCGAAGGGGTTTGAGGAGTTGTGATGGATGGATGGAATTTGGATGGATTTCAAATATTAGATTAGATTAGATTAGATGATAGATAATAGGACGAATTTATTCATGTTGAGAGTCCTAAAGATTGATTAATAGTAACCCGATATGAGTGATGGTTTATTTAGTAAATTGATCACAAATAAGAACGTG